GGGATTAGGATTACTGTGTTTGATGCTCTAGGTGTTGTGCTCACAGATCCACCTTTTCTGTCAAGCTACTCCAAAATCAAAATCTTGGTTTCCTGCTTGGCAATCAAATTAAAAAATCAAAGTGAGAAGAGACTTCCTTCCTTTCCCGCTTGGTATTTTTCCACTGTATTGACAACTGCATTTGACAAACAGCATTAAATAACCTTCAAGACTGTATCAGCTACCTGTTCTTAGTATCGAGGGGGAAATCAGGCAAGTCAGACCAAGACATGACTGGTTGGGAATCAAAGCAAAATTGACAGTCTTATCAAATACCATCCACATCTCTGTATTCTCTCTTGGCTGCTGGGTGTTGCACAGGCTGCTGGGCTGTGACACGTGCAGGGAGGCAGTTTACTGTCTCTGTGCAGCCCTGAGGTCTGACTTGGTGCCTGTACAGGACGGAGCTGCTCCGATGGGAGGAGGCAGCTGGAGGTGGATGGAGCAGGCTTCTCTGTGCTGGCTCCAGCTGCAATAGTTTGAGTTAACCTTGGATCCCTGGCATTGTTGACTCTGGTTATCAGCGACCTTGTTAGGTAATAAGGATGTGCAGCAATAGCTGCATTTACCTTCAGGTTAACAGAACTGGTGCTACTCTCCACCCCAAACAGTAGTGGGAAGGTTTAGTGATAGAATGAAACCAAATGCTGGTGCAATTTCAGTCTCATCTGACCTGGGGTGAATGGTTTGTGGCCTTGCCAAGGCTGCCCCATGGCAGCACTTCCCAGCTGCTGCTAATCCTCCTTCGGCCATGGTGACTGATTGGGATCAGTTCCCCAAGCAGGTATTTTTACAGTAACTTCCATAAGCCTCAGAGAGACACCTCATGCTCTCACACCCCAGTGATAATAATTCAATGCACAATAAAGAAAAGCGTAAATCTACAAATGGGCTACCAGGCCTTTTCTTTTATCAGTGTACAAAATTCTTCAAAGGTAGTGGTATCTGTTGGGGGCCCCACAGCTGGACACAGACATGACCTGGAGTATTGTGTCCAGCTCTGGAGTCCCCAGTACAAGAAAGACCTGGACCTGTTGAATGAGTCCAGAGGAGGGCCATTAAGTTGATCACAGGGCTCAAATAGCTCTCCTGTGAATACGAGCTGAGTTGAGGCTGTTCAACCTGGAAAAGAGGAGGCCTTGTAACACCTTCCAGTACCTCAAAGAGGGCCTACAGTGACCCTGGAGAGGGACTTTTCACAGGGGCATGTAGTGACAGGACAAGTGGGAATGGCCTTTAGCTGTAAAGGGCAGGTTTAGATCAGATATAAGGAAGAAGTTCTATACCGTGAGGGTGGTGAGGCAGATTCCCCCCCAGAGAAGTTATGGCTGCCCCATCCCTGCAAGTGTTCAAGGCCAGGCTGGATGGCACTCTGAGTAACCTGGTCTAGTGGAACATTCTGATTCCTTGCCCACGGTGGGGATGGGTTTGGAACTAGATCATCTTTAAGGTCCCTTCAACCGCAACCCCTCAGTGATTCTATGAACTCTAATTAGGAAATAACAAGATGCAACAAGTCTGCAGTAATGTACAGCGTGTCTTAATTGACATGAGACACATGAAATGAGATACCTGGGGCCTTTCTAACACAGGAAAAATACTACCAAATGTAGCTGTGAATGCAGTTTTTTGCAAACTCCAAGGAATAGTTGGTAGATGGATGTTTGGAAATAGGCATTTTTCATTTTAATCCCGTGTTTGAAATGTGCTGACTTTAGAAATATAGTATAAAATTAGTTCCAGGAGAATAAACCTAGCAAAGATAATAGATGCTTGTTTTCTTTCTCAGAATCCCTCAATTATGAAAATGTGACAAATAGGTAATACCTCTGGGTTGACTTGAATTAACATATGTTTAAAATAAATGTAAAATATGTCCCTTTCTCAGTTAGACAAAAATCACACTTTTCAGGTCCTCAAAAACTAAAATATATCTCTGGCTTTGAAATTATTGTTGTCTTTCTACTGCATCTTCTTGAAAATGTCATGTGAGATTAGATCTGTGCTCCGTTGTGTTGGTAAGCGTGCAAACCCCCTGCAAAGGGCGGTCTTTGTTCTGAGAGCTCAGGAAAGGTTTTCAAAGACAACTGCTCATTTTTGATACCTTTTATAAAGGTCTTACTTTCAGAAAGCACTGGATATGTACTGTTAGAAGACCAGAGTCCTTAGAGGAGTCTCCAGCTGGGCTCCCAAAATTATATAGGTAACGAGGAAGTAAGTGCTTCTAAAATGCTGTCCTCAAAAGACAAAGTGAGAGGAGTAGGAACAGGATAGATGACCACTAAATCCTCAGTTTGCTTGCTCTAAATAAAGAACCTGACAGTATTATTACTACTCCCTTGCTCAGTGTTGCCATTTGCATCCAGACTCCTCTGCTGAGTGTCCTGCGTGGCTCAGAGTGGTTGTGCTCCCTCTGCACTGTGGACAGAGCTCAGGTTGGGATCAGTCCCATTTCTCCTCATTCATGAGTTTCTGTCCGAAGGGCCAGCTGACTCATTTCAAACTTAAGTACAAGTACAAGCTGATGGCTGAGACTATGGATGATTGGAGAATTTCAGTGTGAGTGCAATCCTGAGGCCTGATCTGATATAATTAGCCAGTTTACCCATTTTATTTTAGTCTTGCAACTCTGTGGCTAGGCAAGGAATTTCCCGTTGCTTGGGAGAGCTTTTCAATTTTTCCCTTCTTCACAGCAGATGAGCTCAAAAAAAGTCCTGTTTCTCCTTTCTGAGATGGGCCTGTCTCTCTTGATGCTACACAGATAGGAGATCTAGTTAACCTAGAATCAAACAAATTTGAGATGAGGTACAAGTTTGCTTCTCTCCAAGTTTAAAACCTCCCCATAGATTTCCCCTTTCCCTTCAAACCTGCTTAATGCCACCGTTGCTTTCTTTTCTGTCCTGAAGGGCACAGTCAGTTATCTGTCTAGAGCAGCTGAAGGTTCAAAACCTTCCCTTTATTCCATTGAATAAAACAGTTTCTTGGTCCCAAATGTGAGTCTTTCTTAGATACCTACTGACATGGGTATCTCATGTAGAAGGTGGTTGTGGGAACATTGCCCTAGAGAACCTGGAGAATAAAAGCAAGGCAGCTGTAAAAACAGAAATTAAGAATAGCATTGTAGTCAGGTTAATATGCCCACATAAGGAGGGAAATAACTGAGCAGACTGGTTATTATTGCTCCTCTATTTCATACGGCATATTTACACTGAGGGGTCAAGTGTTTGTGGCAGAGTGTGGGTGGGTTTTTTTAGTCTTATGCAACACCTGCTGATTTATCATCCCATCCTTTGCCTGCTCGATCAGACCTTCATGTCCATTGCTTCAAGAGTTTGGGGTTGGTAGAGGCAAATATGGGCAAAGTGACAGCTTGGCAGAGGCAATCAGCCCACAACACACAGAGCAGAGCCCACCAGGCATGATTTTGAAGGAGTGAGAAGCAAAAATCCACTGCCAGCCTGAGTTTCAGCTGACGTGAATGCTGCCTTGGCAGCATCAGTATCCCATTAGCTTCACAATTTGGAATCTGTCCCAAAAAACAGCTCTTCCCACACACACAGACACATACATTCATGAAAGAAGCAGGATATCAGCTGGAAAGGGTGCAGACCCAGCCTGATGAGTTCCGTCCCAGCACTGGCCTGGTCAGAGATGGGGTCCATGAAACTGGCGATGGGTGAGGGCTGTGTAATAATCCAAACTGCGTCCCAGAACGTTTTAGTGGTGGAGTTGGCAGTGCTGGGTTAAGGGTTGGACTCGATAATCGTGAAGGTCTTTTCCAACATAAATGATTCCGTGATTCTATGAAATAACACGGTGAACTTGTCTCTGCACGGCTCCTTGGCCCCAGAGGCCTGAGCCTGTGATGGGTTTACATGCATTTACGTGCTACAGAGTGAAAAAGCAACTGAATGTGCTTCAGCGTGAGCAGTCCTGCACGGGCACTCGTCTCCTGTTCAGAAAGGCAGAATGGGGAGCACAAATCCCCATCAGAAAAAATGTACAATCATAAAAATATTTATGCTGGGAGAGACTTCAGGAGATGGTCTCAGTCAGCTATGCTCAGAGCAGGGCCACCTTAGGTTGTGTGGAGCCTCATTTGTTGAGTTGCAAATATCTGCATAGGTGGAGGTCCCACAGCCTGGTCAGGTAACTTGTTCCAAAATTTAACCACCCTTACTAGGAAAGCTTTTTTTTCTTGCATCTGACCGGAAACCGTTTTGTTGCATCCTGTGTCCATTGCCTCTTGTCATTTTGCTGTGCTTCTCAAAGAAAAGTTTGGGTGAAGGGGAGGAGAAATTATGGGTAACCTGCACATTCTCTTCCTTTGTGGTGTGATTGTGTTACACCTTTACGATGACTTTCAGGCACAGAATAGCAGCCACCAACATTGAACTTACTGAACTGCTTTTAGCAGGGAAAAAAGAAACTCTCTGCAATCCCCCTCTTTATCTTACGGGTTCTGAAGGGAGAAAGGATGTGGGTGAGCTGTTTTCACATCTTGTATGCACCGATGGCAAATTCTCACCATCCTGGCCAGCAGAAATGGTCAGGGAATATTAAATCCTACTTGGGCATTTGGCAGAGCCTTTCCAGCATTTGGCTATCAAGCCTTCAGTAGTTAATGCAAATCCAACCAAACAGAAGAGCCTGCTCTCTGGGACTCAAGACTACAGGAAAAGTAAGCAGTGCTTTCATATGAGGCAATAAAATTCAAGTAGGATTTGTTAAATCATGCAAATGATTGCTGGTCTGCACTTTATATTTATCTAAGAAATTGATTAAGCACTGAGTTTTTTGGTTGGTGAGTAAAGTTGATTAAAAAAAGTACTAGAGTCACAATATATATTCTAGGAGTACATTTACTGAGCTCAAACCTAACTTTTTTAGTTTCAGGTGAAATACATGATAATGTTCTATACTCACTGTCTGGTTTTGAATTCCTGTTTTGTTTCTTACAGCCCCAGCAGAGAGCTCTCCATAAACATTTCCAGCCTCTAAAGCTGCTGTCCTGCCACTTGATATGAAAGTGAACTTTCCTTCATGAAAAACCACAATAAATGGCGCTGCCAGAAAATGACCATGGAGGATTGAAGACAAACTTGAAGTAAAATCAGCAGACTCAGATGATGCATTCTGGGAAGACCTGGTTTGCTGTGGAGTAAAAACGTGGTGCAAAATATCCAGTGCTAATTTGTTGAAAATGATCATTTATAGACCTTTAGCTGGAAAATTTCTTCCAGTTTTCATCACTGTGCATAACTTTTGAGTTCCCTTTAGGGGACTGTCTATGCCCTCCACTAGAAGTCCTGTTTTAGCATGGCAACTACTGGATTCTTTTATTATGTATGCAGATGGCATGATGTTTTAGGAAAAACTTACAGCAATTCTCCAATCTCAGTGGATATGTTCACAATATTACACCCTGATAGGAATGTAAACGTCTTGTATGTGTTAGTTTTGCAGTCTAATGGTATTCTGTTAAACAATATCAGCACTTCATATGTGCTTTCCTCACAGAACTAGCACAGTCCATATATATATATATAATGGTCTTTTTTTAAAATACTGAGGATATGTTTCAGTATTTGTGCTGAGACTGCATCCAAACTGAAGCCCACTACTATCATCCCTTCACCAATTCACATTAGATTGTGTAGATAGATTTGCACGTGGCAGAGATGTGACTTCTTTTGTCAAGACTTAGAGAACAGCTGTCACAGAGGTAGCCAAGAACAGGGTAGGTTGAGCTGTAGGACACTGTGTCTGCTCTCCCTCTCATCCACCAAATATCAAAGGTTCTCATTTCTAGTGTGCCAGTGTGTTTTCTTACTCAGAGAGGGAGAGGCAAGGGAGAGAGCCTTTCTCAGAAGTGTGTGTGACCCTGGGTTTGGTCTACAGTAAAACCAGAATAAACTGGAAGAATTCAGGTTCTTTATGCTGGCCACCATTTATGTTTTGGGCAGGGCTGGGGAATCATAGTCCAAACCAAACTCTCTGAAAAAGGTAAAGTGTAAGATTATACTTCTGAGGAGCAAGACACTCCCTTTGGAGAGGGCAGACTTCTTCATTAACTTTTTCCACTTTCTATCCAAAACAGTATTTTGGTAGGAACTGGGAATAAGCAAATGGTTCCAATAAGCCTTTCAATATACTGTAGCAGGCTCAAGACTGTTGCATTCAATCTGAACATTGTTTTTTGTTCAGTCTCTGAATGGCTGGCCTCATCACTGGTTGTATCACAGCTGGCTGTGGTACTGTTTCTTCAATGGGGACTCAGTGGAATTAATGTCTGTCCCTCACATCAGGACCTTCTTGAAACACTCTTTATAATGAACTGATGCCATCAACATACTGAGGGGGCTTACTTATTTGTTCCTTCTTTCTTTGAAATCAAAGGTAGCTTTTTTTGTGTATTTAAAGACTGTCACTCTCTCCAGCCTGACAGACAGGTACAATACAGTTGCTGTTAGCATTTATTCCAAACTAGGTGAGACACAATACTGGTGTGAAGATGCAGTGATGGAGAGAGGGTGCAGCTCGAGTAAATCAGAGGCAACTTTCTAGAGGAAGCTCCTGTGTTATAATTCTTTAAAACTGTTGTGCAGTTCATTGCTAGAGAATGGAAGGTCAACCACTGTGGGTGCCCGTACAACAAACAGATAATTATCTTCAGGGTTTAATTTTTTTCAGATGGTTATGGGCTTAGGTTTCAGCTCTCCACCCATCTCAGATTCAGCATGTTGGATACTTCTACAGTATTCAGTCCAAAAGAAAATTATTTTTACTGATGACCAGGATATTCAGAAGGCATTAGTGATTTCTAATGGTTTGGGTCTTTCCACGGGTTCTCAAATGGAGCTCCCAAGAATTACAAAGCAGTAAACTTCTACAATCTCCTTCTGAAAATCCTGGTCCCTAATTTTAAATTAATTGGTGTAAAAATTTTTCTTAAGACATGAGAATCTTTGCCAACAGCAACATTTGCACTTTTTAGAGCTTTTCGTAGGGTTGCAGGTTGGAATCTGATACCAATAGAGCCAGTCATGCACATGGCACAGGTCCACTGTAAGCTTCAGCAAATTTTACAGCTCTTTCTGCTACAGGTTTTAAAAATGCATTCTGGCAACTGACATCAATTTCATGTTGGTACAGCAATTAAAAAATAAAGTACTTTGATTGATATGTTATATTAAAAGGAGAATGCTTTACTTCTACAGTAGGAATTCTCTTATTTTACTACCCAGTTAAAAAATCCAGAATAATTTGAATGATAAAAGAAAAGTTTATCAAAGAGTGTTATCTTAAAAGGGTGTATGAGAAGAAGTTGCGTTAGGCAGAGAGCCACTAGAAGCTTTTTTTGTATCAATGTTAGTTTTGAACATCTTCCAGTATATGGGCATGAATTTAGATGTGTGCACTTCTCCTGTTAAAACAGTTTGTTTTAAAAGCTTCCCAGGATTTTAGCTATGGTGACCTAGAAAAGCAGTGTTATAGGCCCTGAGAAATGTGAAAATCAAGTCCAGATCCTTGAGTAGCCAGACTCGGTGAGAAGTCTGCTGTAGGTGCCTATCGGACAAATCTTTGAAGCTGGTGTAGGTCTCCATCCTGCAGCCAGCCTATGCATGTGGACAACTGCAAGCATAGTTCCCCCGAGCCCCGTGACACTTCTCATGTGTGTAACTGTCTGCCAGAGCCATAAGGAAATAACTGTACTTTTTGGCTTGTATTTAACTATTCATTGTGTTTGGATTTTTTTAATCACTGTTATTCTCCCAAAGTAGGCCATGCTTCCTCAGGGATATTTATGGAATTGTTCTACATCTCCTGAACAACTATTTGGATCCCAGCATATTCTTCTGAAAAGTTTTTAATATAAATAAACACGTGGGAGAGATTTTTGTTGTTATGAATGGGGGCAGGTACTGTGTTCTCGGAAAGGCTTTTGAGTGCAGACAATCAAGTCTATTGCATTTTTTATGCTGAACACCTTATTAATAGCAGACATATCCGCTTTTGCCTGGGTCATAGAAACAGTTCAGGGGAAAGAATGCTTTATCTCTGGTCAATAAATCATTTATGTCGAGAGTGCCAAAGACCAAGTCAACATGAAAGGGAGCAAATAAGTTATTCCGGCAAAGGAAGTCAATTTAAATATGTTCAGAGCCATTAGTTCGGTGTGAAAGAGTGGGAGACTAATGCTATTTTCATCAAGCAGCCATTATCAGCCCTGTGGAGATAGATAAATTCGCAAAGGCCAGTGCTGCTGTTACATTGATCACTAGTTATTATCTCCGAGACAAGGCGGTGCTGCCATCAGGACACTGTTCCCCTGTGCAGACCTGCAGCCTCCTCTTCTCCCTGGCACCACACTCGCCTGGGATTTTCTGTGTCCAGAAAGGGTGCAGCATCAGACCCCACTAAGAATCCCTGACAGAAGTGCAGCCTTTCCAAGTGGTTTAAACCATGAGAAGTTCTCCACCAGAAACCTGAAGGAATTGCTCACTCCAGAAAGCATGCTGCAGCTGAAGGCATCCTTTGCACTGTTTTGATCCTTGTGTTTTTTTTCTCATCTGTGTGGCTTTCTGTGCCTGAACACCCACCATTTATTCTGTTAAGGGAAATGCAGCCTTCAAGGAGGGGAGTTTGAAAAAGCTCCACAAGCTCTTTGGTTTTGCTTGCCCAGATGTGTGGCAATGCTCTACCAGTGAGTTCATCCCTCCTGTCTGTTCTTTAAGGGTAAGTGTTGTCACTCAACAACAGATGTAACATTATTGAGGAAATTAAACCATTAAAAATTATACAATTCTGGTTTGGTTTTACCCTTCACTTTCCAAAGACCCAAGGCCAGGTCCCAGTGGACTTATATTGGTGCTACTCCGTGCGTGTCTCCACAGATGTGTCTATCAGTGCCAGCCATGGATCCAGGACTGGGGTGGGGTTTTTTGTCATTGCCAAAATGAACCTCCCTCCAGCAGCCACAAGACCACAAAATCTGTGTTATTCAAAGTAAAGCAAAGTAAAACCCTGAATCTTTCACATTGGTCCCCTTTAATAGTTGCCATCTCTGCCATCAGAGTCTCCTTGAACAGCCCCGCTGCAGGACTGTGCTGCAATTGACCCTGATATATATAGGCTGTGGTCAATGAGATTTTAATTTAAAAAGAGAAGGTCCTTTGGTATAATTAAAATTGATGGGTGAGGGGAAATTATTACCAGCATTACCTGCAACCTCCTATAGTAAAATTCAGGAGAGTAATCTGGAGTGCAGAAAAAGCCACCAACATAATGTATGGGTGATTAGGCAGGCTCATGAGGATAAATCAGCAAGTAAGAAAAGTAGATGCTTAATGAAGGAAGCCAAAAAAAGTATGGGAAGTCAGTGGCAAATAGGTTAGGGCTGGTTAGACCAAAGGCTTTACATATATCCTAATAAATACTGTCATAGCAAAGCTAAGTCTGATGTTAGACAGGCCCAGCACAGTGATTGTTCACAGTACATTGAAAACGCAACAAATAGTCTTGTTTTGTATTTGAAAGCAATAGAAGGAGGGAGTTGAATTGCCTATGAAAATGTAATTCCTCCTACTCCATCAGTAATTACGGGTAATATTAAGCAGCAACTATCCAAACATAATTTTAAATTTGTAGAATCATTAGCTGAATCCAAAAGTGAAGGAAAACTTGACTAGGACTCTTCAGAACCAGAAAGCATAAAAGAAGCTTCAAATGACACCAAAACCACAATAATTCAAAAGAATGAGAGGTTTGATCCAGAAAACTATAGGCTCATTAGCTTCCTATCAGTCTTAGGCAAAATCATAGAAAAGTTGGTATAACATAATCATTAAAGCAATTAATACTTGATAAAACCCTCCAGATTATTTTTGTAGAATTGTATCATGCCAAATAATTTGCTATCATTTTTTGTGGTATCAAAGTCTTGTTGAGAAAAGAAGCTCTGCTGGCATACTATACTTAGCCTCCTATAGAGCATTTGATTCTGATAGAGAACAAAAATAGCACAATGCAAAATCAATATCACCCATATTAAGTGGATTAAAACTGATTACAGGCTAGATCACACAAAAAAATGCAGTAAATATGAAATTATCCTCAGTTAGACTATTTCTGATGAGGTCCTCCCAAGGTAAGCTTTACTTTCAATATACGTCCCAGGGAAAGAGAAAATTACTGTTGGCAACAGCCAGAGGTGACAAAAACAGAGATGCAGTAAATAATAATATGAGCAAGTTAGGGGTGGAGAGTAACCCAGAGGACAGAAAAGTCAGAAATCTGGGAGACATGGCAGAAAGTCCTGCTTAGAAGCATGGGGACTGCATCTGGAATAACACAGTGGCTGCAAAGGTGCAGTAAGTAATCCATTCAACATCAGCTCCAGAGATGCTCTTGCCAGCTGGGATGTAGGACCTGGCAATAGTGATGCTATTCCAGTTCATTTGGTAACTGTCAGTCTTTCAGAAAGGGTATTGACAACTTGGAAAGATTATTTTCAATAGCTCCCAGTGTCATTCAAGGGCAGGAAAACAGGTCTTATTATAGTGTCAGACTAATGAAGCTCAAGCTATTAATTTATCAGAGGCAATTTGAAGAGGTGACTTGATCTCCGTCTGCAAACACAATCTTCTACCTGGGCAGGGAAGTGCTGTCTGAGGGCAGGTACCTCTTCTGTTTAGAAGAAAAGGGAATGATGTGCTTTACTGGTTGGAAACTGATTTCAGGCTAGAAATTAAGTGCAAGTACTCAACAGGGAGGATAATTACCCGTGGAGACAACTTACTTAGTTACCTGGCATGTTCTCCATCACATAAAGTCTTTAAATGTATGCAGAATATTTTTCTAAGTCAATAAGCTCTACCTCAAACTGAAATCCAGGCTCGATGCAGCAATTACTGGATGAAGTCATTAGGCATGTGTTATGCAAGGATTAGACTAGATCATCAGATGTAATTTCTGAATTAAAAATACCTTGAAGTTTCCAATATTACAAGAAGGCAGGGCAACTATATCAGGTTTTGGGGTTTTGTGTTTGGTTTTGGTTTTTTTTTCTACAAAATGGTCCTAATTTAAACAGCTTTTATGAAAAGCTGTACTTGTTAAGGTTTGATATGAGCATCAGTAGGTCTGCTCACAGTTTTAAGGTTCTGCTGCACATAATTAAAGGAAGAGAACTGGACAAGAAAGGACAACAGAACCCTTGGACACACTGAGAAAGTCTGTTGACTTTCATTAATAGCAACCTGGGACAAAATGCTGCATGCAAATGATGGGGCCATGTGGATGTGTAGTCTGAGCAAGCAATAACATCTGTGGGTTTGCCTCTTAAGGAGGTAGGATCTTGCTGGCAAGAAACAGATTTTCCTGCCTTCAACAACTGGCAGAGAAGCTGCAGTGCTGATTGAGAGGGCGATTGTATCTCTGTGCAGCTGAGCATGGTACACAAGTTCCTTGCTTCAAACACAGCAAACTGTTCTGCTCTCATGACGAGCCCCATTGGAGCTGGTTAATAAAGCCCTGGAAGTGAAATGACATCAGTGGGATTACCCAGAGTAATGACAGCTGCTCCCAGCAATGGGTTTTTGCAAGATTGGGCCCTGTTACCATCAGCTGGTTTCAATGTTGTACTTCAGAAATAAGCACTGGACTACTCAGTGTCTGATTCAGGTTTCACAAAATCGCTGTCAATAGGTACAAGTGAGAACCTCTGGAGCATCTTCCAAGTTCTTCACCAATCGGTGGGGAATGGCATAAACAGGGATGTGCAGTCTGAAAAGTCAACAGTTCACACAAACAAGAGAAACTCTAAAAGCAATACTTACTGCAGATTGGTATTGAATCAACATCAAGAAGCTAAAACAAGAATGAGCTAGCTACGGCCATAGCTAAGAAGATAAAGATCTTTGGGGATTCTTGCTCTAATCCAGTGTGAAATCCTAAGAAAATGAGTTTGGGCTAGATTTGTTGTTTGAAGAACATTGGTACATGCTTGCTGCCTTTCAAATAAATTCTGAAGAGTCACTGGCTTTGGTTTGTGATGGCTTATGAGTGTCCTCACACTGCAGCTCTGGAGGGGAGCGTTCCATAACTGGCATGTCTGGGATCCAGCTGGGCAGGGAAGAAGCTGAACTTGCACATGAGTGGAATTGCCAGCATTATTATAACACAACCAGGCTTAGTCTGAGAATGAGATGAAAATCTCCTTTCTGATACTAATTCCAAATATATCTAAATAGTTTTTCAGAAGAAAAAATCCTCTGTAGCTTCTGTTACATCTCTGATCACATCCTTTCTATTAAGTTACTTGCCTTGAATTTATTTAGTTGGTATCATAAGTCACTAAATTAAATAGCAAAACAACAGGTTTTGGTTTTTTTTTAAAGCAGGGAGATTGGTATTGCAGCAAAACAGCTTGTAAGCAATAAGAAACTGTGCAGGGGAGGAAAAAAATCCACAATTTGTCCCATCAGATGCTTAGGGGATTTGACTGGTTGGTTGACTTTTTGTTTCAATATTGAGAGCAAGGTTTTACATCTAAACAGAGGTTTTCCTTACTGAACCAGACTTTGGTAAAGAAATATTGGGAGTCCTCTCAGCACTTCTTCTGCATCCCTTGTATTCAAGAGGCTCCTTCTCGGTGCTTCTTTTGAGAAAGGTAGAAAAGAGATTAGGTGACAGTAGTGAAGACACAGAGGGACAGGAACTTCCAGCCTATGCAAAGCACCTCAGCATGAGACCCAAACTCAGCCTTGTGCCCTGACTCCAACACTGCTGACGGAGGGGAGGAATGGGGCCATGCAGGGCTAACCTGCAAGTGCAACCTGTCCCGTTCCATCCTGCTCTCTTGCAGCCATTGCAGGAGACATTGCCTGGCAGAACTGGACAATGCTCCGGCAATGGGAATGACCAGCATTTCCACAAAGAGGCTGCATGCCTTGCACTGAGCTGCTGGGCTGCTTGTCAAGGCTAAAGAAGCGTATTTTTAAATTTCTCAGAGTTATTGCAGAATCTGAAAGCATCAGGGCCGTGCTTTGGGATGTGCTGGGCTTTGCTTTCAGCTTTGCAGCTGTCCGGACCTACCCCACAATTACTATTTCTTTTTCACAAGTCGGGGTAAGATGGGAGGAGTGCCTGCCTGGCTGGGCACATTGTAAACCACAAAAGGGGGCTCTAAATTTGGGGTACTCTGTTGTGGAGAGTTGAATTTAAGGTTGTTTGAATGTGACCCTGAAAAAAGCAGTAACTGACAGCTGGAATTGCAGCCACACCTGAGTTGTCTCCAAAGGTTTCCCTCTAATGAGCAGCCCGTGGACAGAATCAGATGCCAGGCTGTGCTGGTGCATCAGCTGCTGCTGATGGACATGAGCTGCAGGGAGCAAGAGATGCTGGGATCAAGGTCCTGGGAGACCTGGTCACCTGATCCAGGACAGCTGGATGCAGAAGGGTGACTGCAAGCCCGTGGTCATGCTGTCTGGTCAAAACAGTCTCCTGAAGCCAGCAAGTTGTGCCTGGTCCTGCTGCCTTTGGAGTCTGTTCTGGTTTACATTAACTAAGGAAATATTCTAAGCCAGTGATCTCCTTTTAATGTTAACTTGGTCGATAATCCAGGAAGATGCCAGCACTCTAATGCTTAAGAAGTGACACACTCTTATTCCCTGTACATCTATGACTGAACTTTTTAATGATGGAGCCAAATGAGGTGGCATGAAACAAAAGTGTGCCTTTTTGTTTTATGCACTCTGCGTTTCCCCAGGCATCCAAGGTGTTCACCTGCACAGAAGTGCTTTTTTCCCAAAACAGAAATTATCATGCAATCTAATTTTTCGTATATGATGTAGCCATCGCTGTTAATTCCACCTTACAGTTTTTATATTTAGTCTTTAATTCCTTCTGTCTTCAAAAGCAACAAAAAATAAAACCCGGGTGGGAGGGAGGAATTCTTTTAAACAATAAAACTAAAATCAATATCAAAGTTTTTGGTATCTTGGGGCAGAATCTCTGGAAGCTTTGGGTATCTGCTTTATCATTTTGTATATTTGACAATTTTGTACTCTGCATTGTTTGACTTCATTTGTGCATGGCAATGTATTAAAACATGGAATTTTTATTATACAGTAAAAGTATTTTGTTTGATTTCAACAAGGTCAGGGATTGATCCAGTTCACAAACAGAAGGGGAAAAAAATCAGAGGTTTTTGCCAGCAAAAACTCTCACCTGATGGTCCAACCAGTCTCATGTGAGTGGTTTCCAGAGCCTGAAGGTGGGCAGAGCTTTTTGCCCACCTTCAAATCTCCTTCCCCCACTGCAGTCCTTGGGTCTGTGCAGTGGTTTGTAGTATGGGCTGCAGGTGCTGCCTAAATGCAGCACATGACATGTTACATAGGGTGTAAAGCAATCAAAGGGTTCTGCTCTGCTGGGCATGATTTGGGTGTAAATCCAGACCAGCTCTACTGATCTTGCCTGATTTACCCTGGATTGAGTGCAGTGTAATGGCAAGCAGACACTGCACAGGGTGAGGAAGAATCCTCCTTCACTGCCTTTATTTCTTGAGACTCAGGGAATGCCCTTGTCAGCAGTGAAGCATCCTCTAAGGGGACCAAATTGCCAAAGGAGCAGGTACTAGACTGTTCATGGTCTGAGGCATTTCACTTCCATCCCACCTGCCCCCATTCATCCTTAGCATTTATGGCATGTGAGTGATTTAAAAGTCAGTGGATTAGGTAGTTTTTGGCAAAATGCTGAAGTGCTGCAATTCCAGAGTGATATTATGCTCTCCGTATATGTGGTTTTTTTTCTTTTCAGACATAATTCTGAATGCTTTTGCATTTGTAAGGCAGAGACTGATGACGTGTTTTGGTCAAACACAAAATACTGGGCTTAATACAAAATAATAAAACAAAATTATATAGTGTGAGCTATAACTGACAAAGTCAAGATAAATTGTCTTCTAAAAAAATCATAAATCATGTTTTTTATTGTGATGGGGCTGCAATTTACTAAATTCTGTTTATACCTTTAAAAGCTTTCTACTCCATAAACTTTGTAAGCGAGAAGAATATGTTAGCAGGGAAAACTCTGGTTTTGATCTGTGCATGTTACTTCTCAGGCTGAAGAAAATCAGAACCATCATGCAAGAAAAGAAGAAGTTGCTATGTCACATACCCTTTTCACCATCGGGGTCTCCGTAGGGGTTACAGTGGCACCACGTTATTATTACACCTCTGTGTGCTGCACACTAAGATTATTTCTATTATAAATAATATGCCACCTAAATCAGATGCAATATTCCTCCCTGGAGACAGAGAAAAAAGTTACTGAGGATGTGGAGGAGTTTCCATGTGTGCTTGCATAGGTTTTGCATTACAAATCTCAGTGAATGAAGCACAAACGTAGAAACACAAGTGATGTTCACAGTCCCACCACTGATCTGTTTTGTGTGGAAGAACAAGTTCCCTCGCATTGTCTCATCAAGTCCCACCTCCTTATCTGTAAAACTGGGACTACATTTACCTGTCACTGTTAAACCTTGAAACTCAACAGAGGAGCTGTAAGTCTTCCAAGAAGATTGTGTTGCAAGTTGGATTGATTTGAGCAGACCAGGCATCTTGGTGCAAAAGAGACACCTTATTTGGGAGACAAGAAGATGCCATCCGCAGCTCATGCTTATCTGACATTCCCCTCTCACTGCACCCAGGCACTGATCTGTCAGAGTCTCAGTGCACGGCGTGACACTTTCACGGGTGAGGTATCGTATCATCCCAGTGTCGGTTTGTCTGAGGTCTCTTCCTCTTTTGTGCACTCCTTCGTCTCATTCATGCCACTGCCTTGTCATTGCCTTCTTGCTTTTCTGCACCTGACATGATTTCTTGCCTTCTACTGTTATTATTATCACATGGGAAATACACTGAATTACTGCACGTCAAAAACACGCTGCCAAATAAAAGAGTTTTCTTAAAATAAATGGCACCAGGGCACTGGCCTTAGGGGATAAAGCAGAGGACAGATTGCTACAGGTTTGTTTTAGGGAAGCATGGGGATTAACCTCATCTCCACATCAGTGTTGGAGTGAGAGACTGAAATGGCAGCAAGAAGGATGCACGCTGTACTCTAGAATAAGCTTTCTAGGAAGAGGGATACTGAAGCAGCAGCAACTACTTAAAGAGGTGGAGAAAAGCTTTGACCAGCATCACTCAGCAGTGCTGACTCTGGGGGAGGGCAGGAGGACAGACCTGTTGTTTACCAAAATCTCTCCGTTCAATTTTCCTACAGGTAAGACTTGAATGGGAAGCAAAGAGTTACCTCTGTTAATTATCATTACATTTCAAGTTCCACAGGAGAAAGTGCCGGATTCTGCACCGGTGATGGGGCAACCCTGGATGCCCCACTGTCTCAGTTTGAGACAATTTGGAGGGGCGGAGCCATCAGACAGAAGTCTCCTCCCTCGGATTTAATGACCCTAGTTTCTCCAATACAGAGAGGGAGACCAAATATGCCCAGAGGTAAGTGAAAAAATAACTCTTTACCAAGAAGAATGCTGATAACAATACTAATAAAACTGGGTTAAACCAGCCGATGAGAAGCCCCACCCACCAGACCAAATCGAGATGGCATCTGGCCTTTTCCTCCAGGAGAAAACACACGTGGCCACAGGACAGAGACAAGATGGCCCCCTTATCACATGGTTCGTGTCCCCATGCCTGGAAGACCTGGCAGGAGCTGTTGGAGAGTCAGTGCTGGCAGGATTAGGTACCAGCAGACACCTGCATGGCACTGGAGTGAGGCTTCAGTGTTGGTATGGGCAGTCGGAGTAGGGCTGTGGCCCCTCCCGGCCACTGGAGGGACCCACGAAACCCCCTGGATTTGAGACTTGGTTGGTGCAATTTCAGTGTTTGTTGGTCAAAGTGGTGGTTGCAAGTCCTGTCAACAGGGTTGGTCCCAGTCCAGATCCATTGAGGTGGTGGTGGAAGCCCCGTCTGGTAAGGAAATCCTGTGGGGTGCCCAAAGAACACCCCATGTGAAGCGGTGTTGGTGAAGTCCAAGCGTTGGTGAAGTTCAAGTGTGGCTTAGGCTTGGTGGGAATGCCCCCAGGACATCCCTTCAGGTGGGGAGTTCTGCACTGGATGATTTAATACTGGATCACGGCACATTTCAGGACTGAAGATGTCTTCTAAGGTGTTGTATCTGCCTGTTACATCTGCACAGGTGGATCCATTATGGTCCATCAGCAGAGATGAATATCTTCAGGCCATGTGTGTGAGTTGTACCTGTTCTTCCCTGGAGGGGAGTCATCACAGGTGAGTCATTTGTGTAAGGACAGGATTTGCCTCTCTCCTTATCTTGTTCCAACACCCAGCTTGTAGCCATAGGTGGCAGGTGTGCACGCCCTCAGCACCTGGGTGGCCACTCTGCACATTGTTAGCAAAGCGCAGTTGCTGATTGAGCCTTCAGCACCCAAAGTCCAGGCTCTAACAGCAGGTGGTCAAATGTTTGAGTCATTAATCATTAGCAGTTCAGTCTCTTTAAAAAAGACAAAATAATAAAAAGCCAAAAAGACATATTTGGAGAAAAAAGAAAAGGAAAGGTGGATACCAGAATTTTTGTGTAACCCGGGTCATTTGTACAGAATGGGGAACAGGCTCTGATCTCTTCTCTGTGGTGACACATGACAGAACCCAAGAGAATGGCCTGAAGTTGTGTCGGGGGGGTTTAGGTTAGATATTAGAAAGAGGTTCTTCACCCAGAGGGTGGTTGGGCACTGAACAGGCTCCCCAGGGAAGTGGTCACAGCACCAAGCCTGACAGAGTTCAAAGAAGCATTTGGACAATACTCTTGGGCATATGATGTGATGCTTGGGGATGGTCCTGTGCAGGAACTGGACTCGATGATCCTTCTGGGTCCCTTCAAACTTGGCATATTCTGTGAATTCAGCTTTTCTTTTTCTACCTCTTCAAGGTAAAAACCTGCTCTTCTGTAGCTGTAAATCCAGACTCATTTAAGTAAGTACATTCAGATGCCAGCTGAGAAACTGCAACAGATTTTGACCTATTCAGAAGTCTAGTCCAGAGCATACCCTGGGAAACAACCCTTAAAAACAAGGGGGTTCAGGAGGGATGGATGTGCTTCAAGCAGGAAGTTTTGAGAGCACAGGAAGAGGCTGT